TTATGATTAAAAATTTTTTTTTACATGTGCATGAAGATAGTGTTACAAGGATATTCCCTGGAGTATTCTTTATAGAAAAAATATGGAAGCAAACTAAATGTCCAAAGGTAGAGAGGCTTAGTTAAATAAATGATGGTATGTTCATGTTCATATAATGCAATACTATACAGCTATCATTAATGATGTTTAGAAAGATATGATATAGACAGTCAATATAATTGAAATATAAAATGCAAGTTAAAATAGTATATACTATTTAATCCATTTTTGTAAAATATACATATATACACAGGTATGTAGATATATGTACATACATACACACCTTTGTGTGTGTGTGTATATATATATATAGTAGAATAATATATATAAATACATATATATATATATATTAGAAGAATAAAGGCTGAAAGAAAAGTAATACCACTAGTATGTCAGTAGTGGTTGTGGGATTATAAGGAATCATTTTCTTTTTCCCTTAATTCTATATTTTCCAAATGTTATAAATAAACATGTACTTTGATGAAAAATAAGTTATTAAAAGTATTGCCCTGGCTGGTTTTGCTAAGTGGTTAGAGCGTCGGCCTGTGGTCCAGAGAGACCCAGGTTCAGCTCCTGCTAAGGGCACGTACCTCAGTTGCAGTTTGTCCCCGGCCCTGGTTGGGTCAGGGCTGTATGGGAGGCAGCCACTCGATGTGTCCCTTTCATGTCGATGTTTCTCTCTCGCGTGCTCTCTCTCCCACTTTATCTGAACAAAAAATGAAAAAATGTCCTTGAGTGAGGATTTAAAAAAGAAAGAAAGAAAGAAAGAAAGAAAGAAAGAAAGAAAGAAAGAAAGAAAGAAAGAAAGAAAGAGTATGAGTTTTATATAATAATATTGTTATAAATAAAGCAAGAAAAATTAAAATTCATTATTTAACCTAGCCCCAGATATGTTAAAGTTATTTGAATGATTTTTATTTAGGCAAACAAAAACAAGTCATACAAAAACAGTGAGAAATAAGTATATATACAAAAATATGTAGAATTTTTAATGAATTTCTTTGGGGGACCATTTCCATTCAACCTAATATACAAAGCTACCAATTTTTTAATTCTCAAGGTTAGCAGGCATGAAGTTCACTCATTCATTAATTCACCCACTCAGGGAGTACTCTCTGAGGTTTTACCATGTACAAATACACATACCCAGTTATTTGGAGGGTTGAAATGTGTGTTCCTTGAACTTGTGGTGCTTATAGTCTACTTGGAATGAAATCCAACATTCATGAATCATCTTCACAACAAAGCCCTAAAAATTGGAATAGAGAACAGGGTAATAGAGAAAGCAAACACCAGTGAGGTAAAGGCAATCAAAATTCTACTCATCCTTTAAGGTTCAAAAGGTCCCTCTTCCTGAAGATGACTCTTATTAGGCAATATTTCCTTGTCCTGACCTTTGTCTCATTCATCTTGGGTCCTGAGTGGGCTTCAAAGCCAAGTTTATTTAGGAAACTCCAGACCATCTTCATCTCCTGAAGGAATGAGGAAGAGGAGGGTGGAGCTGGAAAATAACACAACCTATATTAACTACTGGTGATGGGTGTGGAAACATGGAAAGAAGGGCTGCCCTCAGCCTGTTGACAAATAGCAGCCACCTCTTATTCTGCCCCTCCCAAAATGGGGTTGAACAACACCCCCATTCTTTCAATCCTTATCTCTGAGGGGAGGGTTATCCATGAGAATACTCATGAGTATCGAAAGCTGCAAGGTATGATTGGGAAAAGTGCTGAAGTAGGAGCCCTAGTGCCAGCTTCCCTCTAATTAGCTTCCCTCTGTGCCTCAGTTTCCTCATCTGTCAAATTAAGGGGTTGAAGTGTTCAATACCCAAAGCCTGTAGCTCCCTATAAATTAGAAACAACAGGTTCCTGTGACTATATGTAGGAATTATTCCCCAGTCATGAGTCATCTGTCAGTCTCTGACCTTGCAAATACAAATTCCTCCCCAGTGATAGAAATTAAAACACTTAATTCTCTTATGGGAAGGTTGTACACATTGAATGTTTGTGTGCAGTACTGTCTGGGAAGTTGAGGCAAAGGAAATGGCTCCTAAATTTCTCCTGGGATTGAAATGATAAACAAGACAGGCTATGACATCAGCTCCCATTTCTTCTGTGATCAGACTAAATAATACAAATATCAGTATTAAATTATGCATGCATACTTTTTATTTTTGCCTTTCATGGGAAATCACAGGGAATCCTTTGCTTTTAGCCTTTAGCGCAGAGTTATGGAGAACTGAAAAGATGAAGACATAATTTCAGCATTTTAGAGCTGCAACTGATTTTAAAGATTAGACTCAACCCCTCTTCATTCCAATGAGGAAAAAAAATGAGGAGTCCAAGATATGAAACAGCTCACTCCAGTGTTAATTTCCTGAAGTATGTTCTCTCAGTTGGCCTCACCTAAATAAACTGTAATTGAGCAATACCACCACTGAATATGCAAAAAAAAAAAAAGCCTAACCTCTTTTAATGAGTTTCCTCTATTACAACTGTTGGAGTCAAGTAAAAATTCATTAGGATGAATGTTTCTGAGACATGGACAGTTCACCCTCCTAGACTGTACCCAGAACCAATTCCTTACCTCAAGACACAGCTGCTCCGCCCTGGCCAGTTTGGCTCAGCGGTTAGAGCCTCGGCCTGCGGTCCGGAGAGACCCGGGTTCGGTTCCCGCTAAGGGCTGCAGTTTGTCCCCGGCCCTGGTTGGTCGTGCGGGTGGCAGCCACTCGATGTGTCCCTTCACGTCGATGTTTCTCTCTCTCTCTCCCTTCCTCTCTCTCCCTCCCATTCTATCTGTACAAAAAATGGAAAAATATCCTCGGGTGAGGATAAAAAATTAAAAAAAAAGACACAGCTGCTCTATATTTCCATCCACTATCTTCCTGTCTCTCTACAGGTAGCCAGGCAAGCACCAGAACTTTCTTAGGCCAGACATTTGCCACCACATCCCCTAGCAACTAAACAGGTGCTGCTTAGCATTGGATGAATAAAATTCAAATGATAAAAATCTATTCTTTTCACCAAGAAACATGATTTTTTGCTAATTTCTCCCCTCTTTGGTTCTTGGTGACTCCAAGGAAGTTATTCAAAGGCATCTCAGTAAAGAAAAAAATTGGTTGTTGTATATGAGAACTGTTTATCTAAACTTGGTCAGCATTAGGGATCTAAGTTACTGGAATCACATAAGAACTAATTCCTTGCCAATTCATTTTGCCTCACTATTCAGATGGATGAGATATGCCTTATTGTTACATTCTTCCTACCATAGAAAACACACACACTGGCTGTTTTGATATCTGACCACATTTCATAATATTTTGATTATCTGTACTCCAGACTAGAATGTCCTAGAATTCAAAATGCATACACAGTTAGAACTGAAAGGGACTGTTACAAGCATTTAATCATTATCTCCCTCCTTTACAACTAAAGAAACGAAGTTGCAGTGAAACACACTCGTCCTTTATCGTGTGCCAAATGTAGAGGCCATGTCTCCAGTCTTCCTGTCCTGGTACTTTCCGCGGCCCTGCTGCTTTCCAGCATCACTGCGGGCTTTCTAAACACTCTGAAAGGGCTGGATGGAGGCTATTCCTTGGGAGTCAGCCCCTCCCATTCCAGAGCTGCCTCTGCTATTCTACCGCATGAATTATAGATGCAAGAAGTTACTAAAGCCTGAATACTCAGATGTGTTCCCTTTCTTGCCCCAATGTGCCTTACATTATGTCAATGAGGAAGGTGGGTGGCAATTCTCATAGTTATCAGTTGCTCCCATAGTAAATTACCATTCTAATTTTTCCAAAATTAATTGTTGCTATGCAGTGTGCAGTCAAAAAGGAACATTCTATTCTGGTTTTGAATTATGTGAGCAATTGAGTTGTCTGGTTCATGTCTAAGAATTATACATGGCTAGTTGGCATGCGTAATTTGGGGCAGCACTGTTCTGATGATTCTGTGACAGGAAGTCTGGTTGCATTAAACTCCTACTTTCTGACTCCAGTGATGCCCATGTAGGCAGCACTGACTGTTAAAGACTAAGAGAGGGGCAGTAGGGAGCAGGGAAAGGAGATTTCAGCTTAACATTATAATTATCCTGCCTCTGCCTCTCACCAGCAGAATGACTTTAAGCAGTGCACTTGGTTTCTAAACTTCCCTCTTTTCATGTGTAAAATGTTGAACAGATTTGAACTTGCTTTATATATACATTACTGGGCCAATATTATAATTTGTAAGGATTAGTTAACTCCAGAAATGAGTCTACAGCAACAATATGGAAAATGTTAAACCAACCAACCAACCAACAAACAAAAACTTCTTGCCTTTGGGATCCCAAAGGCCTAACTAGGTATAAAACCCTTCTCTGCATTTACTAGTTGTGTAATCTTGGGCAAGTTTTATCTTCGCTTTTTTAAGTTGTCATGAAAAATTTCAAACACACTCAAAATAGAAAGAAAAAATAATTACAATTATGTTCTAATCAACAGTTTAAGCAATTTTCAATATTTTGCTAATATCATTTTATCTCTCTTCCTCAAACGTTTTTCACCCCAGAGGTATTTTAAAGCACATTTGGGTAAATTGTTGTTTTAAAGATTTCTGTGCTTCAATTTTCTCATCTAGGAAATGAAGATTATAACATCTAATTCATAGGGTAGAACTGTACTGGGTAGTCAATAAACCTTAGCTATTATCACTATTTATGGTGGCATCTATGTGCACCGCCCCCTCCAGGGCGGAAAAGCACTTCACAGCGTAGCTCTCCCAGCTCAAGACAGGGGTTATTAAACACACAGCCCGGAGGAACCGAGTCCTGCGTTGCTAAGCTTGCGACCGCCCCCTTCCGGCAAATCTCTTGAGAACCTCGCGATTAAGACGAAGATTGTCCCTCGTAGGGTCCCGTTGCCACGCGCGAAAAAGAGGGGCGGGGACCGGAAATGGGGTTGAGTCTACTTCCGGGCGCGGGGCTACCGCTGAGAAGAGCAGAGCGCGGCTGTTGGAATCTGGTGAGGCAGAGCCGCGATGTTCCGTATCGAAGGCCTCGCGCCGAAGCTGGACCCCGAGGAGATGAAACGGAAGATGCGCGAGGATGTGATCTCCTCCATACGGAATTTCCTTATCTATGTGGCCCTGCTGCGAGTCAGTGAGTGTCCTTCCAGGCTGTAGCACTGAGACCAGTAGGGAGCTCGTCCACACCACCCACCCAACTCCCGTTCTACGGACCTTTGGGGGCCCTTGAGCCGAGCTCAGCGACCGCGGGGAGCAAGGGACAGGAGCGACGAGAGCAGCGGGCGCATGCGTGGCTTAGAGTCTGCGGGTCAGAGTTGGGGTACTGAACTGCACGCGGTGGCCTGGACTGCGTGGTTTATCGTCCAGCCTCGCCCTGCTTTAAGAGCATTTGAATCAGAACCTCAAGGGTTATAAGCCAGAGCAACTCCCTCGTTTTGCAGGCAGAAACTGAGATTTACAGTAGAGGAATGGCTGGCTCAAGGTCATTCAGTAACTCAGTGAAGGATCTTGACCTGGAATCCAGATCTCTTAACTCAGTACCAGGATTCCTTACTTCAGTGCTGACCTTTGTAATCAAAAAAGTTTTGCTCACTTGTACAATGAATAACGTAAAACTTGCTTTTTGGATGAAGAGTGAGAAGAAAAGGGTATAAGTCTGTAGGACTTAGTGATAATGCCTGAGGGTTTATTTGATTTTACGTTTGGCAGAAACTTATTTGCATTACCTGGTCTAGACTTTAGTCCTTTGAGGGAGGTGGGGGCCTAAGATTCTATGTCCCCATTTGTTCATTTGAACTAGACTTTCAGGGGGGAACTTATGCAAGATATAAGAGTTACAGGGACTCTGAATATTAGAGCTGGAGTTGGCGTCTCTAGTTCTCAATATGAATCTCAGAAGTGACTGGCCCCCATCTCATTCTCAGCTCAGTACTCTTTTAATTGCTCCTTGTGTATTGCTAGCAGGTCTGGATGGAGAAGCAATGAAAATTTAAGTAAATGAAGGCCATACCAAAGTCATCCTGTAGAAACTCTTGTTGGACCTAGCCCAGAGCTCACTGAGACCAGGTGTCTTATTGGTGTCCCTTTCACTGTCTGTGGTATTATTCTGTTTCCCCAGGAGAGGGAGCCCTGGTGAACAAAAACTTCCAAATAAATCATCCCGGCTTCAACAGCTTTTTGCAACTCCAACTTATTTGCTCCACTTACCATTTTTTGTTGACTTAGCTGCCAGTAAAATATTTGCTTCTTCTCAATAACCTTTGTATTTGATATGCATCAGTTAAAAAAAAAAACAACAGAATACTGTTCTGTATTATCACCTTTTAAATTGAGATACAATTTGTATATTATACAATTAACCCATTGTTAAGTGTACAAATTGAGTGGTTTCTTAGTGTAGTCAGAGTTGTGCAACCATCATCACAATCTGTTTCAGAACATTTTCCCTTCAAAAGAAACTTCATGCCCTTAACTGTCATTCCCCATTTACCCCTTTCCTTAGCCCTTGGCAACGACTAATCTACAATACATGACCTTTTGTGTTTCAAAGTTCATCCATATTGTAGCATGTGTTATTTCCTTCCACGTATTGTTATTTTCTTCCTATTCATTGCCAAATAATATTCCACTGTATGGATATACCACATTTTGTTTATCCATTTATTTGATGGATTTTTTTCCTGATAAGAATTAGAAAAGACAGCAGGCTGCTGACTTTGTCAGTTTTTGACAGATCTCTGTGATCCGAAGGCGGATGCTCTAACCGCTGAGCCAAACCAGCCAGGGCCTGACAGATCTCAATATCTTCAGTTTAATATAAACAAAATGTTTTATTAATTTAGTATGAGTACTGAGAAGATTCTGGCAGCTTTTTTCATCACAACCCCCCCCCCCCCCCAGTTTTTAAGGTTATGGTAAAATGCACAGAAAATTTAACATTGTAACTTTTTTAAATGTACAGTGTAGTGGTAGTAAATACATTCATAATATTGTGCAACCATCAGCATCATCCATTTCCAGAACTCTTTAAGTATGCCATATAAGTGAAATCATAAGTGTTTGTCTTTTTTTAACTGGCTTGTTTCACTTAGCATGATGCTCTAAGGTTCATCCATGGTGTAGCATATGTCACAATTTCCTTTTTAAGGCTGAATGATATTCCATTGTATACCATATTTAGCTTACCCATTCATTCATCTTTGGACACTTGGGTTGCTTCTACGTTTTAGCTACTGTGAGGAATGCTGCTGTGAACATTGATGTACAATTATCTCTATTTTTAATTTTTTGAGAAACCACCATTCTGTGTTCCACAGCAGCTATACCATTTTACATTCCCACCAACAGTGACCACAAAGGTTCCAATTTTCCCATATCTTTGCCACCAGTTTTTTTCATAGAAGCCATATAGGTGTGAGGTGGTATCTCATTGTAGTTTTAATTTGCATTGCCCTGATGATTGGTGATGCTGAGCATCTTTTCTTGTGCTTAGTTTGGCCATAGCACTTTTACACAGTATAATAATATCACTTCTTTAGATCCTTATGACAACATTTACTAGTTTTCTGGACATTTCTACCTACTCCATCCTAACAGGCCCATATAATTAAAGTAGGGCTGTACCATATGTGATCTAGAGGGCATAGGTGATACCTAGCTAATCAGTGGGGGAATCAAAATGTGTGACTGGCTCTTCTGGTTCCCTAGTTCATTTTTGTGTCCCCACCCTTACCCTCTGCCTCTTTCAAATGTGTTTTTAAAGGTAAAAAGTGCCAATTTGTTTCCTCTGGAGTTTTTGTGCCTTTTACGAAAGTTGAATCACAAGAGTAAAGGATTATCATTTGAAAGAGGTTTGGATTTACTCTTTGTGGCCCTAAAAGGTAGAACTATTTGGAGAAAAGATTTCATAGTGTATGAATGAACTTTATAATAGTCAAAGCCACACGATGCTGGAATGGGCCTCCTTGAAAGACAGCGAGTCCCTTTTGCTGGGTTGTGTAGGCAGAGGCTTGGCCATCACTTGGCGTTGTTTTCAAAATGTATTGTTTGTTTAGTAAGGTTTATCCCCAATCTTATAATTTCATAATGTCACTTGTGGGTTAATGAAAACAAATTCTCAGTTCATTTCTTTTTCTTTCAGCTCCTTTTATCTTAAAGAAATTGGACAGCATATAAAGATTGAACATCAAATGTGAATGCATGATATGAAGAACCTGGTTTCTACTCTGCATAATCTGCAAATGAATAGGCCCAGAAAGATGTAAGAGACTCTTTGAATGGACATAAAACTTCTACTTGTTTAAGAGCAAGTTTGGTTGTGAAAACTGACCTTCATAGCTAAAATAGAAAACTATTTGGGAAGTATGAAAAGACATTTTTTTATGCCTGTGATATTCAGCTTCCATGAATGTTGGTGTAATTGTAAATAATGTCAAACTCCATTTTCTGGCAAGTATTAATTATATAAGGGAATTACGTCTGTAGTGGCCCTGTCTTGTCAGTCATTTCTGTTGACCTTTTTACTTTTGCCTGGATTATCTTTGTTGAAAAGATCCTTATGATTAGTTATGTTTTATGGAAGCCAGCACACAACCACAATGTTTAAGCACAGGACCATTAATCTATATTTTTAATAAATGTACCAATTAAGAAAAATTGTGGTTTTTTTCTTCTTCTTAACCTGTTTTTTGCTGCAAATCAACAATCATTGGAGACGACTGTAACATCGTGATGATTACAACTGCGTGAAATTGAGTTCCTCTTGTTTTGGACTAGAGAATTTGCTAATCATGATGAAGTGAAATTGTTTATTGTTAAGCAACTTTCATGAAAGGCATCATTGCTGCTTGATGCTGAAAATATGTAATACCACCAGAGGAAAAAATGGTATATTTTAAAAGTCAGATAGTTATCCAAGTTTGGTGGGGAAGGAGACAGTCTTTAATCTTCTCCCCAGAGGCAATGCAACTACATTCACCTCTTTAGCTAATTATATTGGTATTTACCTCATGTCTCTAAATAACATGATTGTGTTGTTACTTCATGATTTTTCTGTTTTAGACATTGCCTGCTTCTCCTCGTCTGTAAGGATTTAGGTCTCTTTCCTCCCTTTACCTCCATTACTCACACATCCCATTTTTTCTTCCTTTCAATGTACTTATTAGTGTGACTCATTTGAACTCCAGGTGCTGTTCATTGTTTTAGTTTCCTGTACATCTTTCTTTTTCCTGGGCTTAGTTTTCTGTGAATTTACCACTGAATCAACTAAACTTCTTGCCATTTGTTAAATTGCCCCCAGTGTTGTTTCATTAGATATGCTGTTTCATCTTGCTGAGTAAGTTTTTCCTGGAGCTTTCTGACCTGCCCCAGTCTAGACTCACAGTCTTCTATGCCTAATGTATGACTATCCTCTGGGATATCTTTTCACCATCATCCTGGGAATTCCTTTTCCTCTTCTCCCATGTTGGATTTCTTGTTTTCTGTATCTCATATCCAGTGTGCATTTTTTCATTAAATCTTTGGAGTGAGTATAGTACCACTGCCGATAACTGCCTGGTATACCAAAATCCAGAAAATCCACTATTTTACCCTTTTCAGAAAATAAACTTCTAATTTGGTGAGGACAGCCTGCTTAACCATGTAGAGTTGCAGAGAGCATCTGCCTACTTAAACCTTCAGCTAATTCTTATTTTCGTGTCTAACCCTTCACTTCCTACTTCCATAAGCACATGAAGCCACCAGGTCCTGAGCCTTTTAGGAATTCTATGATGTAAATTGAGTTGTTTGTTTTGCTTTTCCTACTGTTGACTCAGGATTCAGTTTTTTGGGGTCTGCCATGTTATTTACTAGTCCATCTGCTTTCCAACTTCTAACTTTGTTGCTCTTGTCTCTTCTTTTCTTCCTCCTTTTAGTTTTATACCTTAAAACACAAATTTTTGCTGTCATTTAATAGAATTGCAGGAGAGAGTGGAAGTACATGCATGTGCTCAATCCACCATTTTTACCCAGACACTGTATTTTTAACCCTGTGAAGCTGTGTTCCATGTTGCTAATTTATATCCATTCCTGACTTAAAGAGGTGCAGTGTATAGCACCATGGTTATAAACACTGGCTTAATGGATAGGCAGTCTTGATTTTGAGTCCTGGCTCCAACACTTATGAGTTGGATGACTTGTAGCAACTGAACCTTTAAATCTCATTTTCTTCATGTGTAAAATTAGCATAATAGAAACATCTCTATTTCAAAGTGTTATAAGGGTGAAATGAGAGAATGCAAGTAGAACCAAATGTCAGTGCCTGACATTTGGTAAAAGCTAGTTATTAATGGTTAGCCTTTGGTATAAGGTGCTTGGAAGTGATTTGTGCTGGCATTCATTCCTGTTTCTGGATGCTATGAGATAGCACGCTCATCCTCTAATTGGATACAGACTTCAAAATTACCAAACACTTAAATTCATTACCCAAAACAGCCTTAATCAATAGATGTTAATGCCATTTTACAGATAGGGAGTTTGAGACTCTAGGAGTTTCAGTAGCTAATAAATAGTAGCTGGCCAAGGCTTGGGGACTTTTAGTGTTTGTTTATTGTACCCTAATGTATATATATTTTTGTCCTCACCTGAGGACAGTTTTGCATTTATCTTCAGTTAGAGCAGGAGGGAGAGAGGGGGAAAGAGAGAGAGAAACATCGATGTGAGAGAGACACATCGACTGGTTGCCACCCACATGACCCCAACCGGGGCTGGGGACAAACCAACTGAGGTATTGTACCCTGATCTTAAGTGCCTTTCTCCAGTACTGATAATTTAGCCCCACCAAGCACCATAGTCTGTTCACCCTACCACCTAGTTTCTGCTTCACCTCCCTCATGTCTCAGCTTAGGTTCCATTAGCCATCATTGTGATCATTCTTGCACACACACCTTCAACTCTCTTCTCTTCTCTCTCTCTCTCTCTCTCTCTCTCTCTCTCTCTCTCTCTCTCTCTTTCTCTCTAGCTTCATTGTACTTCCCTAGCAAAAACCAACCCTGGTTAAATCCAACTCTGCTCTGTGCCTGCCCTGTGCAGTTGAGAATGGCTGGAAGAAAACAAATATGCTGACAGAATCCACTTGGAAAATGATGCCTCTTGACTTCATTTGGGTCCTGCAAGACTACATTTCCATAAGTCATTCTTCTTTATTAGACACACATTTCATATCTTCTCTTGCCTCAGAATTCCAGTATCTCCTCTTACCTTTAAGCTCAGATGATGGTGTTGCTTTGTATTTTCCTGAGAACATAGAAGCATCCAGAAAAAAGTGTCCATAAACTTACCCCATGATACCTACCCACACACCAGCATTTGTACCCTGCCTCCTGTTAGAAATGTCTGCTGCTATTTAAGGTCAATCCCATCTCATGCGTACTCAATCCCTCCACCCCATTAACTACCCAAGGATCCTCTCCTGCAATTCTCCCTCTGTCAAATTATTTTGTTGTTGGATCATTCCCAATAGCATACAAAGGGCTGCAATTTCTTCTGTCTTAAAAATTTTGTTAAAGAGCCCTGTTGCCGGTCTGTTTCCTAGAGAAGATGCTGAGATTTTGTGCAGGGGGTGTTGAGGGGAGTATTTTGGGGGAAAAGGGAGTGTTGAGGGGAGTATTTTTGGGGAAAATACAGGGCAAGTGAAACAGTGAGACGGGCAGAAGCTGAACTGTGATGCAGCTGTAGTGACCAACTATCCAGGACTGTCCCAGTTTTAGCCCCGAAACTCCTGTGTTCCAGGAAACCTCTCAGTCCTGGGAAAACCAGGATGGTTGGTCACCCTAGCTGCAACAGCAGCTTTAGTCAATCCCACAGGTATTTTTGATACTGGGGTGGCCTTTCAGAGAAGTCCTGAATCAAAGCATTGGATAGTCACTGGATGTGGGCTGCTGGGGGTTGGTGTATTGGAGACAGCTTCCTTCAGCTTAGGGTATTTCTTAGGAGGGATGCAACAGTGAACTGTCAGCAGCCAGTACTAGCTGCTGGGAGAATGAGTATCTTGGTCCTAAAGTTGAGATCTGGGTGGTTCACTACAACATCCACCATAGTCGTCTTGAATTCTCATCCCTCTCCTTCTGTCCCATTTCTTTGCTCTCTTTTACAGTTAAATGCCTCATTAGGTTGTGTATATTTTTATTTTCTTTTTACCATTGTCTCTTGAACACATTCTAGTTAGGCTTGTATCCCCACCAATCTTCTGAAACTGCTCTTTTCAAGGTTAACACTGACCTGTCTTATCCTATCAGCAATATTTAACAGACTACCTCATATATTGTAACCAAATTGGGGGCCTTGCATAACATGAATTCCTAATTTTCCTTTTATCTACCCTTTGTATTCCACTCATCCACCCTTCCTCAGATTCTTTTTTTTATTACTAATTTTGTTAGATATATTTTTTCTTTATTGTTGCAAGTATTACAGATGTCCCTCCTTTTACCCCCACCTCAGATTCTTTTGCTGCTTCCTCTTTATCTCTAGCCTATGAAACTTGCAGTGCCCCAGCTTCAGTCCTCAGACCTCTTTTTATTTTTCAGTATAGATTCTACACTAACCCCTTTGGTGATCTCATCTGGTTTGTTGGCTTTAAATGCCATTTATGGGCCGAGAATTCCCAAGTTTATATCTCGAGCCTACACCGCCTCTTAATTCCAAACTTGTCCAACAAACTCCCAATCTTCCCCCTTCTGTGAAACGTACTCCTCTCAATCTCATGAAATGACATTTCCATCTTTCCAGTTGCTTGGACTAACACCTCAAGAGTCAGCCTTGACTCCTCTCTTTCTTTCACATCCCACACCAGTCCTTGGGGATCCCCTGTTGACCTTACTTCTGAATTATAATCAGACCTTACCTATTCTCACCAACTTCATTGCCACCACTCTGCTCTAGTCCACCATCATTTCCCTCCTGAATTACTGCAACGGCCTTATAACCAGACTTCCTGCTTCCACTCTGATCCCTCTACAGTCTGTTTTCAACACAGCAATCAGAATGGTCCCCTTAAAATTTAAGCTAGAACATATCACTCCTGCTCAAAACCCTCCAGAGGCTCTAAGAATAAAAGCCAAAGTCCTGGTTGCCCACAACTTTTCTGTACAGTTCTGATCCTTATTATGTCTCTGACCTCTTCTTTTATGACTTCCCTCCCTTACTGGATTTCAATCACACTGACTTCCTTGCTTTCTCAAATTAAGCATGCTATTGCCTCAGGGCCTTTGCCCTCACTGCCTGTTTAAGTGTCTCACTCCAACTTATATTTCGATTTGTGAAAATCCAGCAAGCTGTATGCTTAATGTGTGCATTTTTCTATAGTTGCATTATATTTCAATAATATTTTTTCAATTATAACTTCTCCAGCACTACATATCTCCCTTATTTTTCTTCCTGGCAGTTATTTAATATATTTTTCCTTATCTGTTGTCTGTCTCCTTTTGTTAAATAATATGCTTGATGAGATCAGGGATTTTGTCTGTCATGTTCACTGTAGTATCCTGGAACCTAGTAGGCCCTCAATATTCATAAATAATTAATTACAGTAGAGAAGTGTTTAACAACTTGTGGGAAGTGTGAGAGTAA